TGTCACACAAGGATGGGAACAGTGTGCATGGTGTCACACAAGGATGGTGGAGACAGGAAAAGCAAGATCAGCCTCAGCTACACAGTGAGTTTGAGGACAGTCTTTTTTCAAAAAATGAAACAAAACAAAACCTAGTTAAGGAGCATCCCTTATTTACTTGACGAATATGGCATCACACACCATTACATATTAGCTGCTAGCTCTGAAAATATAATTGTTGAAATAAAATGGTAGCCTAGATGTTTAGTGGAACAATGGATGTTTGGTGAGAAAATGGGGAGGAGGTAAATTTATTCAAATTGAACATCACACAGAGGGGCTACATCAGAATACAGTGAGAAAAAGAAAATATAAAAAATAATTTAAACCAAGAAAGGTGACACATGCCTTCAATCCTAGCACTCAGAAAGCCAAGTCCAAAGTTAGCCCAGGCTACATAGTGCATATGAGGCCAGCATGGGCTATACAGTGAGACACTGTCTCAAAAACAGAAATTAAACAGACAGAAGAGATGGTTTAGCAGTTAAGAGCACTGGCTGCTCTTCAACTGACTTGGGTCCAATTTCCAGCACCCACATGGTGGATCATAACAGTCTTTAGCTCCAATTCCAGGGGACCCAATGCCATCTTTTGGCCTCTGTGGGTACTGCACAATGTACATGCACATGTAGGCAAAACTTCGATAAACATAAAATAAAAATATATAAATCTTAAAAATAAAGACCCCCCCCCAAAAAAAAGATAAAGGAGTGGTGGAGATACACTTCAGTTTGTAGGCAGCTTGCCTGACATTCATGAATCCCTGGATTCTATCCTCATCCCTGCACAAACCAGAGAAGTTGGAATACACCTGTAATTTCAGCACAAGAGGTAGGGGCAAAAATAAACCAGAAAACATTTGATAGCTGACCCTCTTGGTGGAGGCACTCATTTGTATCATTTGATAATTGATTTTTTTTTTTCTTTTTTTTTTAAATCGTAGTCCAGGCTGGCCTCGAACTCAAGATCCTCCTGCCTCTGCCTCCTTCAGCAAATCCTACCGGTGCGCGCCACCACAACCGGCAGATAATTGATTTTTTAAAAAAATCTCATGTGCTGTATTTATATTTGTTCATTAATTTTTTATAGAGGTTTGGAGCAGAAAAGATAGAAAAATGAACTCAAGTCTGGGTAATCTTGTTACATACATATTCAAGTACCCTTCACCCATCAGGGGACTCTACAGCCATCCAAACATGAAACAAGAACAAGGGATCAATTCCCCCCCCCCCCCATTTAGTTATTTAGTTAGTTACAAAGGTCTCATATAGCCCAGGCTGGCACCAAACTATGTAGCAGAGGATAACCTTGAATTTCTAATACTCCTATCTCTACCTCCCAAGTGCTGAGATTATAGGGGTTCACAAACATACCTGATCTTACACAGTGCTGGGCATCAAACCCAGAGCTTCAAGCACACTAGACAATCACTTAACCAACTAGACTACATACCCAGCCCAAACAAAATGGATCATAATGAAGCCAAGGATTCATAATCCACAACATGAACTGGGGCCTGTCCAATGCTTACTTACCAGTCCAAGATTACCTGATATGGCCAGTCAAGGAATTAAACCAGGCTGGTTTAAGGGGACATGGCGAGACTGAGGTGGTGACGATTTTATTGAGAGCAATCAGACTTTTTATACCCTTATCAGAAACAGAATATAGTGGCAATTGCCAGGATCAATACAGTTGTAGTTGCCAGGAGACAATGACTTTTGCAAGCTATGCAAGGTACACAAGATTAATGCCCAAGACCAATTGTCCTGTCAGGCTTCCACATTTCCTTGACTTCCAAGAAAACATACAGAAAAACACAAGTGCCCTGAATGCTTCACTGCCTGAGGGAGTGCATCAGTCTCTCAGGAACTGGAAGGAACACAGCACTGTAATCTGAAAAACCTATGATGCATGCCTCCCAAAGTAGCTAGGCCAGGCCCAATACATGTTTCCCTGCAGTGGCCATTGCTGTTTCTGCAGTTAGAAAGACAAAGAATGAATGACTCTCCCAAGAAAGTACAGCAGGAGTCAGATGGAAAAGTTGGTATCCTGGGGTCATCTGATTGGACTATTGCACAGGTTATGGGAGGGGTGGGTAAGGGTTGCAGAGGGCCTTGGCAGCTCTGGGTTGCTGATTCTGCCCAGGGTGGACAGGAAATGATCAGGGCAGGATTGGACTTCTGTGTAAGTTTTGGAGGGAAAGTGGAGTTAAGTTTGCAAGAAATGAATTACTGTAACCCTGGTCACCGAATTAGGAGATGAGTGTTTGGTGGTGGAGGTGGTGTCATTAGATTAGTATCAAAGAACTTGTTAAGAGACAGAATCACAAACAACTTTAAAGAATTTGTTGCTGATGGTGGCTGTTTTAAAGATCTTAATTGGCTTCTATTTACCATTCTAGAATCAGGCAACAGGTGACCCCTTATTTTATGTAGCAGAATGAATGCTTCCAGGAGATGAAATTTGTAGACAGACAAGAACAAGTGAAATAGAAACAAAAGGTGGGTAAGTTCTTTTTTTTTATTTTTTATTTTATTTTATTTTTTATTCCAAGACAGGGTTTCTCTGTGTAGCTTTGAGCCTTTCCTGGAACTCACTTTGGAGACCAGGCTGGCCTCGAACTCAGAGATCCGCCTGGCTCTGCCTCCCGAGTGCTGGGATTAAAGGCGTGCGCCGCCGCCGCCGCCGCCGCCGCCGCCGCCGCCACCGCCGCCACCACCACCACCCGGCAGGTAAGTTCATTTTAACTTTTCTTAAAATAAGTGTGGCTTTTTTTTTTTTTAAACAACTTAAGTTCATAATATTAACTGCAGTTTTGCTTGTTTGGCTTTAAACAGTAGCGACCCTTCTACTTTCCAGGAAAAGGTGAACTACTTAAACTTACAAAATGGTGTGGTGTGCAAACACTCATTTAGTGAGGATTGAAGCAGGTTGGGGTGGGGAGGAGGAAGGCAGTGGGGGGGAGGTACTTTTTCTTTGTACAGATTCTAATTTGACCCTTTGTGGCGGGTGGGATATCCTTTACCTCAGTTAAAAATCTTTTCTGGAGAGTTCTCCGCATCTGAAGTGTGAGGAGGAGTCACATCAGAATCTCAGAAGGCTGCATAAAGTGGCTGCATAAATGAGGGTACATCATATACCAGGGACTGGGAGAAAAGCATACGGACATGCACGTCCCTAGTGAGCAGTGCAGCTGGCCACCACAGTGTCTGCTCCAGACACTTCTGCTCTGTCACCTTGTTTTTAAATTTACTTCCAATTTTATTTTCTCTATTTGAACTAATCATATTTGAGATGAAAAGTATTCCCTGATCATAGTGTTTTTCTCTATTACTCTATTCTCGACATATAACTAATGATTCAAATTGCTAAGCCAACTTTTTATTTTGTTGTTTTGGTTTTTAATACAATCAAGACTCTCTTCTTGGACCGTTCTATAGTGATGTTCATTTAGGTAGGCCTCAGCGATTTCACAAAAGATCAACCACACTGGAGTATTTAATGCATGGACTCCAGGAATAAAAGTGCACACTTGACATTGCTATTCATCATTTTTTCGCTGATTCATAAGGCAAGCACACCCTCCAGCAGTATTTTGTCACACAGCCAAATCTGAAAAGATCTTCAAACAGAACGCCCCCTTGTGTAACAGCACATATAAGGCAGCAGCAGGTGAGGCACCCCATGTCCACCTCCAGGTTTCCGAGGCTGTGTAAGACCCATCTGCAGAGGTGAGAGCTTCTCTGTCTGTGCCCAACTTTGTAGCTGCTTTTTCAGAACTTTGCTATCAGTGCTGTATTTATCTCTCTAACCCAAGCACTCTTGTCTCCTGGCTTCTTTAGCATAGTAAACCTTCTATTAGGCTGGACAGTGGTGGTGCACACCTTCAATCCCAGCAATTGAGAGGCAGAGGCAGGCAGGTATCTGGGTTTGAGGCCAGCCTGGTCTACACAGTACGTTCCATGACAGCCAAGGCTACACAGAGAAACCTTGTCTCAAAAAACCAAAGAGGAGAAAAATCACCTTCTCCTAGGTGTTGAGTTGCATTAGTGCTTGTTGGAATATTTATGTATTTTGCAGTACTGTAGACTGGTCCCAGGACCTTGCACATGTTAAACACCTGCTCTACCACTGAACTATATGCCCAATCCTGGTGCTTTTGATTTCTCCAATTCTACATATTCCCTGACTTCTTTTGGGAACAAGGTAAGTATCGTATGAAAAATAATGAATTAAAGGAAGACACAGACATGGCGCACCAATTGGTGATTAAATACCAAATGATCAGCCATGAAAACATATATATAACTAATATTATATGGACTGAGCAGATTATGTTTAGGAATATGTATGTATATACATATGTATATATTCATACAATAATAATGAAAAATAGGCCATGGAATTGAAACATTTCTCCTTTCCTTTTTCTCACTCCAAACCTTCCCATACTAATCATATTATAATCTCAAAAATAAAAAAATTATTTTCCATTTTACAGGAGTCCACAGGTGAGATTTTTGAATATTTAAAGAGACAGGAGTTTTAGAGAGACTTTGGAGTTTAGAGAGGTACTTTGAATATTTTACAGAGACTGAATTTTTAAAGTGTTTGAGTTTTTAAAATTTTTAAAAGCTGGAATTTGCTTTATTGTGATATTTATATCAATGTGACATCTTGGGGACAAAGAAGAAAAGGAAAGGTTGTGCCAAGCTGACAAGGAGTCAACTGTTCTGGCTGGTTTTGTCACAAACTACATTCATTCTTAAAGAGGGACTCTCAACTGAGAAAATGCCTCCGTAAGATTGGAAAGGGCAGCCCAGGTTCATCATTGGCTTCATCTCAGAAGGCTGTTCCTTCAACACAGGGATTTAAAACTCAGACTTGCGAGCATGCCTCAAGTTGCCAGGAGCTCACTGTTGGTCTGATAATTAAAACCTTCATGCTTCTCCACACAACCACTACCCTTCAATTTTTGTGCAACTTCTGTCATGGATATTGGAGGCACTTATCCGCCTCTCTTCCCTTCTGCTGTTAATAGGAAACAGAGTACATTTGTGTTCACAGAAATGTTCCAGGCAAGCAAAACACACCTTGATGAACTCCAGCTAAAACGTCTGGAGGAGATGTGCATTGTCATTGACAAGCAGGATCAGATCATTGGAGCTGAAACCAAGAAGAACTGCCACCTGATGGAAAACATTGAGAAGGGTGAGCTGGAAAGAGGATGCCTTGAGCATGCAGGCCTGATGCCCCCACTCTCTGAACTAGGCAGTGGGGAGGCAAGTGTCCAAAGTGTGCCACTGCTTCAGTGGGTTGGGTAATGCAGACTGGGATTGCTGCCTTGAAGTGGGCTGGGAGAGTCAGGAATTGCAGCCAAGCTGGGTGTGGTTGTGAACACTTTAATCCAAGTAGAGAGGCAGAGGCAAATGTATCTCTGTGAACTCAAGGCCAGCCTGTTCCACACGGCAGTTCCTGGCCTGTCTACATAGTGACACCTAGACTCCAGGAAAGGGAATGGGGAGGCACTTCACTGTCTCACTCCCAGTGCCTCGTGTGTCACAACTTCCAGGACATAAGCAGTCACTCTTTGCCACTGGGTCATCCATACTCCTGCACAGGCTGGCAAAAGTAACTACAATTGTTTCCAGGCCATAGGTTTAGAAGCACAGGAGGGTCTAAGACTTAGAATTGTGCTAGCTAGCATGGCTTACTTTACTTCTTGGCCCTTTAGTTTTTATGTTTACAAGTGGAGGAAAACTGCAGTACTTACTTGCAGTATTACTGTGGGTAAATGAATAATACTGAGTATCACCAAATGCTGAGCAACTGGTATAGAGTCTATCCCAGTCATCAGCACCAGCTTCTCTCAGTGCCACCATCCTGAGCTGGATGAGAATGAAAAACAAGGGAAGGGAATGCTTATGCAGGCTCCATGTTGACTAAAGTGTGGCCCTAACTCATGCACAAACAATTTGCAGGCCTGCTACACCGAGGCTTCAGTGTCATCCTCTTCAACACAAAAAACCAGCTCTTGGTCCAGCAGAGAGCCGATGCCAAGTACACGTTTCCCGGTGAGCCACCCAGGTGAAATCCACGGAGCACCAGATTCTAACTTAGGTTTTGGGAGACTGAGAGAAATGACTAATAAGCAAACCTATCAGAGCATTCATATTCTCTCTCCCTCCTCCATCCCTCTCTGAGCTCATCAGTCCTACTCCAAAAGAAGATACAAGGGCATTAAACTACAAGCATTTTGCAACTGGAATCGAATTGTGATTATTTTATATTCTAATGTTTGTCTAATAGAACTGATACTGATAAGTCAGAGTTGGATCTACTTTATATACTAAATATGGCCAGGAAGGAAACTGCCCCCTATTTAGTAAAAGGGCACTCTCAATAAAGTAGCATGTTGTACATTTTCCCCTAGGACATTTTACAGACTCCTGTTCTAGTCATCCTTTATACATGCCGGATGAGCTGGAAGAGAAAGATGCTCTGGGAGTGAGGAGGGCAGCCCTGAGACGTCTGCAGACTGAGCTGGGCATCCCCCAGGAGCAGGTACTCACTCACTCCAATGTGGGGCTCCATGAAGCTTTTCATGTGCTAGGGATCTATCTGTTTGATAGTTACGGTGTCACATGGCAGTACTGTCAATTTCATCCATCAAAATGTTAGCACTTAGGGGTGGCTGCTGGGCTAACACGGTTTCTGCCTTGTATAGGAAATAGTTTTCCTGTGGAAGTGCCTCAAGTCTGGTTCACAGGGCAGGCTGTGAAACAAATCACTGTACTGGTGCTCAAGTGTTTCTCATTTCCATTTTCAAAAGAAATCTTTCACACTGCTGTATGTCCTAATGCACAGATATGTGTTTAGCCTCATGTCCTGTATACATGTGGTCTTCATTGTGAATGAAAAATGAAAACACCATGGCCAGGAATTGTGCCCCTTTGATATGATCTACCTAATATCTACTTAAAGCTCAAATGCTTGTGTGGCACTCTGTGAAAAGGAATGAACTGTTTTCTATCAAAATTCTCATTTTCTCTATCTCTAGTGAATTAATACTGTATCAACTTTGACACAGATTTCCATAAAGGACATAATTTTTATGAATCGAATATACCACAAGAGTCCTTCTGATGGCATCTGGGGAGACCACGAGATTGGCTATCTTCTGTTGGTGAGGAAAGACCTCATGCTGAACCCAGATACCAGGGAAGTGAGAAGCTACCGCTACATGAGCCAGGAGGATGTGCAGGAGCTATTGGACAGGGGAGCCCGTGGAGAAGAGAAGATCACCCCATGGTTCAGAACCATCGTAGAAGGCTTCCTGCTCTCTTGGTGGCCTTATTTAGAGGATGTGTCTCCATTCATTGAGCCTGACAAGATACATGGGCTGTAAGGTGTATGGAAAAGTAATGTTCAAAGCAGGGGTTGGGGTTGAGATGACTCAACAGTTAAGAACACTTCTGCTCTTGCAGAGAACAGGGGTTCCACTCCCAGCATCCACATGATGACTCACAACCATCCATAACTTCAGTTCCAGAGGCTCTTACACACACACTCTTGTGATATCTGCAGGTAGCTGGCATACACAATGTGGTATATACACAGACAAAAGCCAATTAACTCAAACACATAAAATTTTAAAATATCCAAAAAAGTAGGGTTCATCACTAACCTGTGGTTAGAACGGCATGCATTACAGAAGCTGAGTTCTAATACCCTTTCATTGCTTGTACTAAACTAAGATGCAAGCTTTTTTTTTTTTTTTTCTCGAGACAGGGTTTCTCTGTGTAGCCTTGTATCTTTCCTGGAACTCACTCTGTAGCCCAGGCTGGCATCAAACTCAGAGATCCACCTGGCTCTGCCTCCCAAGTGCTAGGATTAAAGGTGTGCACCACCACTGCCCGGCCAATTCAAGCTCTTAGTTTTACCTAAGTGCTTCCTTTTTTGCTGTATCTCTAGCTCTTAAACATTTTCAACTGTCATCTATGGAAAATGCCACTTTTCTCCTAAACCTCCCCTCTTGCGAGCCACAAGAATATATTATAGAGATTCAGCTGTGTATTAAAGCTGAACTTTGACCGGCCAAGGGTCTGTCAAAAGGCAAAGCCATTTATTATGAATATTTGGTGCTACCCAGCCTTTAATATTTCAGCTGTCTTCTGCTATGAAATCCTTGTGTGCCCAGACCTTTTGGTAAAGAGTTCAGCTCCCCAGAACTGCTGAACCTACTAAGTTACTAACTGTCCTGCTGAGTTTAGGAGACCAGCTGGCAGGAAACACCTAGGTTTGTTTCTTGTGCTAATGAAGCTCAGACCATCCCCTCGCCTTGAAGAGGCCTAGTGGTTCTCCAGAGCATTTTTACTGAGAACAAAAGATGTTTTTACATATTAAAGTGAGAGGTAAAACAACATTCCTGAGGAGGCAGGGAACCACGTGCCCAGGGAAAGAAAAGGCAGACATTTCTTGTAGACAGGGACAAAACAGCATGGTGAGAGAGAAGAGAGGACGACAGAGGTTCCATAGAGGGTAAGCAGATCTCGAGTCAAGTTTTCTGAGTGCCAGGAGTAGAGAGTAGCAGAGATGGAGAAAGAGGATACAGAGGACGAAGATGAGGCTGAAAGCATAGGAGTTAGTCGTTAGCTGGACTATGAGCTGGGGAACTGGATGGAACTGTAGTTATGGAGACAGGATTTCATTCCAGAGAAATAAAGCAGACGGATATAGAGCTTGGTATGTCTAGAGTTGTTCCTGCCTTGGATGCCTGGTGGGGCTATTGCTGAATTGATAGAATTTTGTCTTAGAGGAATAAAGTTAACGGACATAAGAACATAGTGTACGTAGATTTTTTTTCCCCTGACATCCCACACTGAACATAGCAAAGCCCTCTTGGACCCTGGGGATTCGATACTCCCCCGGTGGCATCACTCTCCCTCTGGAGAGAACAGGAGTCCCTGTTCACTCCTATGTCCAGTGCTCTGCAGGTGACCTCTGTACCTGGTGCTTACAGATATAATGGTGTATGAGATTACATATTGAAAACAAAGAACTTTGTTAGTTTTCACTGGGTTCACAAATTTCACAGGGACTATCGTGGAGCTGATGAGCATCATCAGTTACTTCCTGCCGTATTTTTTCTTCAGCCAGTGCCGACCCCCAGCACAAAACACCCATCTTGCACGTACAAAGTATCAATAAAAATCAGTTTAATGTCCCTTGATATAGCTCAAGTAGTAAATCTGTCTGGTAAAATGTTATTGTGGATACTTATCAACAATAACTAAAACTCATAATCTTTATTATGCAAATTGTATTAAGAGTCAGTCATCAGAAAATTTGGAAAGGAACAATTCAGCTCACTGATTTCTCTTCATTACTAGCATAATGAAGAATTTCTATTTCATTACCTCTCAAACACTTTGCTATCTGTAGTTGTAATTCCCGCCTTCCCCTCCCCCAAGACAGTGTCTCACTATGTACCTCCTCTGGCTGTCCGGAACCCACCCTGTAGACCAGGCTAGCCTCTCACTCATCATAGATCTGTGTGTCTCTGCCTCCCAGGTGCTGGGATTAAAGGCATGTGCCATTATGTGTGGCTTATACAATTTTCTTGAAAATTAAAAACATATCCAGACACTTGCCAATATTTGAGTTGTTCATCACTGAATTTTAGAAACTATGTAGCACTCATATCCCTGATTACATGCCACTTGAAAATCTTTTCTTTCACTGGGCAGTGGTGGCACACGCCTTTAATCCCAGTACTCGGGAGGCAGAGCCAGGCGGATCTCTGGGAGTTCGAGGCCAGCCTGGGCTACCAAGTGAATTCCAGGAAAGGCGCAAAGCTACACAGAGAAACCCTTTCTCAAAAAAAAAAAAAGAAAAGAAAAAAGAAAAAAAAGAAATGAAAAAAAAAACAAAACACCCTTTTCTTTCACTCTAGTCTTCTTTTGATGCAAAAGAATTTTGATGTAGTCCTATTTGTCTACTTTCATTTGTTCTTTCTTGTAAGTGGAATTGTTCCTTAATTCAGCAATAGTTCATGGAAGATGTCATTTAATTATTGCAATAACCCAGGCATTTATTTCCCTGTAAAGTATTTTTTGCTCTAAGAACAAAGAGGCAAAGCCCTGTATGTCTTTTTCTTTGGCCATCATAGCAACTTATATATAATTAAACCAAACAACAATATTTAAGTAATCAAAACTAATTTTTACTGGAGGTTTATTTTGGATAAAATGGTTAAAGTTACAATGATACATTGTACTGAAGGTCTAGAAAATCATTTAAGAGAGTCAGGTCCTCAGAAAGGCTGGTCTTCTGCCTACACCTCCCAATAGGGATGCATTCTTCACAAAAATAGTTACTTTGATGACAAAGCAAAGTTTTTTTTCTTCACCAAAAGCAGCTTACTTATAGCAATAAATGTTTACCTTTCTTTCTTTTCTGGGGGTGGGGGGAGGGTGGTGGTGATGGTTTTGAGTTTCTATTAGAGCTGGCTGTCCTTGAACTCAGAGATCCACCTGCCCCTGCCTCCCAAGGGCTGGGATTAAAGGCACACACCACCACCACCACCACCACCACCTGGCTACCGATAAATCTTTGAGTCCTGAGATGTGAAACAATCACAACATTAAGAACAGAATGCTCTCGGTGGTAGTGCACACCATTAATCCCAGGACTCGGGAGGCAGAGGCAGGGGGATCTCTGTGAGTTCGAGGCCAGCCTGGGCTACAAAGTGAGTTCCAGGACAGGCTCCAAAGCTACACAGAGAAACCCTGTCTGGGGGGCAGGGGGAGACCAGCATGCTGTGTACTTAGACATTTGTATTATGCAGTAACAAGGACACCGCACACCTAATCAGGTTTACCAGTTTTCAGCAAAGCAACAAGCATCGTTAAGTCATTTTCATTGTTTCTCTTTTCAGTTAATAGATGGTGATTCCAAACTGTATAAAGCACACCACACCATACCCAGAAATAAACAGCAAGAGTCCAGCCAAAGCACTCCAACTGAAGAGGACACTATCTCCTGTCCTTTTTACCAGCTTTCCTCTTCCCAGAGAGTAAGTGCTTGGGCTTCATATCAAACACATGCCTATCTGCTTCCCCTTTCTTCCCCATGCGATTCATCTTCTTCTGGGCTTTCTTCATCATAGTCTTGGCTTTCTTCACCATCTATAACAGGAGAACACACATTAATGAAAACCACATTTCTATCCTGCATTGTAATTACCTGAGACACATTTTTTAAGTGTGCAGATACAAACTATAAAGACCCTGTTGAGTCTCGGTCACTGTTTTCTCTCAGACCCCCATACTATCTGCAGAAACTCAATGACTATCTGAATATACTGAGGGGCCTTTTAGAGTCAGATTGGAGAGTATCTGCTCAAATGTTCAGAGTACACACTGAAACTCAGGAGAGTACCCACCGCCACATTTGACTCCTAATGTCAATGCCAGTATTAAAACCTGCAGTTCAGTAGTGCACACTTGCAATCCCTGCTGAAGATGAAGCTGAGGAAGAACTGTGAGTCTGAACTACACAGCAAGCTCCCGGCCAACATGGGAAACACAGTAACACTTTCTAGACTTCCAGATGGAGAGGACATGTGAAAAAGAAAAATTCAGCCTTTCACTGAGTAAGCAGTCTACCAGTTTACATAGGTTTTCTCTTATATTTGAATTTTCAAAAGGATAAAAATTTAAAATAAAAGTTTTTCATTGAAAATCAAGTTTCCTTCAAAAAGAAATTTGTACCTTTGCAAAAGATGTTACAAATAAAAACATATGCTACCACCTTGAGGGGAAATTTTCTAATATTATAAAGATACACAAGATTATCTGGTAATGAACCAACTTTCCCCTGGACTACTTCCTCACAGGGAAATGGAGGCCTCTTCCTCAGGGCCACCTCTTCCTCACAGGGAAATGGAGGCCTCTTCCTCAGGGGCCACCTCTTCCTCATAGGGAAATGGAGGCCTCTTCCTCAGGGCCACCTCTTCCTCACAGGGAAATGGAGGCCTCTTCCTCAGGGCCACGTCCTAGTAGTTTCCAAACCACTGGGACCTAAGCTCTGCCTGTTCATACTTTATCAGATCACGTTTCTGTCCATTCTCCAGAGTTAGGGTTTCAGAATGGATCCAGAGGATCCAACTGCTCCCTGGCCCAAGTTCCTCTCCATAGGACTCCAACAAACTGGAGGATGGGACGAACAGCTAAGCTCTTACCCACAACCCTGCTCCTCCAGACAACTGCTGGTGTTTGCTGGAGGCTTTGTACAGTAAACATCCTGAAGGTTCTTATTTTCTTCTGTCCTATATCAAAGAAACTAACCGTGCCATCCCGAAGACCAGAGACATCACGTGGAGTTCGAGAGCAACTCCGACTCCGG